CCCTGCTCATGCTCTGTCTCTGTCTCAGAAATAAATAAATATAACAAAAAGTAAAAAAAATAGTAATAAAAATGAAGATCTCAGAATGCCATGGTGGCTCGGTCAGTTAAGCATCTGACTTTGGCTCAGGTCATGATCTCATGGTCGGTGAGTTCGAGCCCTGCATCAGGCTCTACGCTGATAGCGCGGAACCTGCTTCAGATCCTGTGTCTCCCTTTCTCTCTGCCCCTCCCCTGCTCATGCTCTCTCTCAAAAATAAATAAACATTAAAAAAATGAAGATCTCAAATCAATAAACAAACAATCTTAAATTTAAAAAAGGGCAAGCTAAACCAAATGAGTCAGGAAGAAGGAAATAATACAGGTTGGAATAGGAATAAATAAAGAATAGAAAAAACAGAAAATCAAGAAAACTGAATTTGGTTTTTTTGAAACAATAATAATAAAAGACAAACCTATAGCTAGAGTGACCATGAAAAAGAGAGAGAAAATTCAAATAAATATGATCAGGAATAAGAGAAGGGACATTACCAACCTTATAGGGAAAAAAAAGAATCACAAAGAACTATCAAAAAGTGTGTGCCAAACTAGGTGAAATGGACACATTCCTTGAAAGACACAACCAAATCTGACTCAAGAAGAAAACTGTGAACAGACCTAGAAAAATAAATTTGATAATTAATCTATAAAAGTTCCCAAAAGAAGAGTCCATGAAAAGATGACTTCATGCTAATTCGGTGAAATGTTTAAAAAGAATTAATACCAATCCTTTGTTTAATGTTCAAAAAAAAAGAGAGGGAAATGCTTCCCAAATCATTCTCTGGGGCCATTAGTAGTCTGATACCAAAGCCAGACAAAAAATGAGAAAACCACAGAGCAAAATGCCTCATGAATAGAGAGTTCCAAAAAAGTCCAACATAATACTAGCAAACCAAATCCAGAAATGAAATGATTATATACCATGACCAAATTGGATTTACCTCAATACAGTTGGTTTAGTATCTGAAAATGAATGAATCTAATACACTATACAAAATAAAGATAACCTCATGATCATATCAACAAATGTAGAAATTTCATGACAATCATTCATGATTTAAAAAAATGAAAACCTCAACAAGCTAGGAACAGAAGGGAACTTTCCATACTTGACAAAGGGGATCTAGAAAAATTGTACAGCTATCATTGCAATTAGGGGTAAGTATATTTCCCCTAAGGCTAGGAAGACTGCTCTTGCCAATAATGTATAGGAGATTCTAGTTAGGGTAATTAGGCAGAAAAAAGAAATAAAAATCAATGAGATTAAAAAGAAAGAAGTACAATGATCTGTATTTGTAGGAAATATAATCTTATACATAAAAATCCTAAGGAATCTACCAAAAAGAAACTCACCCCACCTAACATTAAAACTATTAGAATAAAAAGAAGCAATTCTAATGAGTTCAGAAACCTTAGAATATACAGTACCAATAAAAAATAATTTTACTTGTATATACTAGCAATTAATAATCAAAATGAAATAAGAGAATAATTCTGTTATCAACATTATGAGTAAAAGTGGAGCATATAGAATAATTTTTTAAAGGTTTATTTTACAGAGAGAGAGAAAGAGAGCTTACATGTGCAGGTGGGAGGAGGGGTAGAGAGAGGGAGAGAGTGGGAGACAGAGAATCCCAAGCAGGCTCTGCACTGTCATTGCAGATCCCCATGGGGCACTATCTTACCAACTGTGAGATCATGACCTGAGCTGAAATTAAGAGATTCTTAACTGACTGAGCCACCCATATGCCCTTAGAATAGTTTTAAACAGAAATACAAGACTTTCTATACTGAAAATTACAATGTTGAAGAAAATTAAAGACTAAATTAATGGAAAGACATCCCATATTAATGAACTGAGAGAACAGTTAATGTGGCAATACTCCACAAAGCGATCTACAGGCTAAATGTGATCTTCATCAAAATTCCAGATCTTAATTTATAGCAATTGACAAAATGATCCTAAAATTCATATGGAAACTCAGGGTCCAACAATCTTGAACCAAGTCGAAGGATTCGTAATTCCAGATTTCAAAATTTACTATAAAACTAAAATAATAAAGACAGTATTGCCTGGATATAAGGATACACAGATAAGTGAAAAATAATTTATAGGCCCCAAATATACCTTTGAATTTAGAATCAATGGATTTTCAATACAGGTGTCAAGATAATTCAATAGGATAGTCTTTTCAATAAATGGTAGTAGGAAAACTGTATATCTACATGCAAAAGGATAAGGTTGAACTTATACTTCATACCATATATAAAAATAAATGCCAAATGGAGCAGACCTCAGTGTAAAATAATAGTGTCTTTGTTATGGCACCAAAATCAAAAGTGACCAAAAAATAGAGAAATTAGATTTCATCCATGTTAAAAACTTACGTACTGCAAACAAGAAAGTTAAAAGACAACCCAGAGAATGGAATAAAAAATATTTACAAATCACATACCCAATAGGGGTCTATTATCCAGTTGTATAAAGAATTCTCACAATAAAATGACAAAAAGACATATAACCCAATTCTAACGAACAAAGGATTTGAATAAGCATTTCTCCAAAGAAATATAAATAGCGAATAAGCACATAAAAAATTGCTCAACACAGAAATACTGGTCAAAGCCACAATGAGACACTCCACATCCACTAGGATGGCTATTTTTATAGAAGACCGAAAGTAACAAGTGAGACTAGGGAAGAGTTGAAATCCTCACACATTGCTGGTGATACTGTAAAATGGTGCAGGCACTTTCATAAACTTTTTCAAAATTACAACATTAAAAATAAAGTTGCCATATTACAAAGCAATTCCAATGTTAAATGTAGGTATACTCAAGGAGATGAAAATATGTCCATGTAAAAACTTGTATACGAATGTTTATAGCACCTATTCTTAACAGACAGAAAGTGGAAACCCAAATGTCCTTCAACAGATGAATAAACAAAATGAAGCTAATCCATAAACTGGAATGTTAATCAGACATAAAAATGGATGAAACACTGAGATATACTATAATATGGACAAACCATCAAAACATGCTAAGTGATAGAAGTCAGATATAAAAGACACATTGAATGATTCCATTCAAATGAATGTCTAGAATAGACAAAT